TTGGAGAAAATGTCACCTTGTCACTTTGTATCGGCTTCGTAGAGATCTTTAATGCAATTACAGAATTGTTTGTGTTGGACGTGACCTCAGTCATCCAACCTTCTGCTCCAAGCAGAGTCAACACTGAGTCATTTGTTCTTGACTCTGTCAGCTGTCACTAAATCACCTGTCCTATTTTCCTTTTTGTTTCTTTACTGCTCATGTAGTAGTAGCAGCTTTTCATGTTGCACTGAAGCCCCTTGCTTCTTTCAACTTTGGTTGTGTTTTGACTTCCCTAGCCAGGGACATTGCATGCCTTAGCAATATTTCTATATTCCTACTTTGGCAGACTGTTCTCACTTCCTCTTCCTTAGGCTGAGCTGCTGATGGATCTGCTTATTTTCCTGAGTGTTGGGATGTACTTTTCATGTGGCTAGAAGTAGTTGTCCTTATATACCTGCCAGCTTTCTTGAGCTCTTTTGCCTCTCAGAACTGGGTCTCCAGAATTCTACGTACTGAGTAGGTCGGCCTGTACTTCTGAAGTGCAGGGTCTGTACTGCATATGCCTTCCTCACTCCTCGGGTTTTTAAACTCCACTATTTTCTGGTTACTACAGTCAAGGCTGTCATTGATCTCATCCCCAACACATTCTTCCTTTTTTTGTTGAAACCAATTCCAAGAAAGTGTCAGATGGGTTGACCCACTTAGCATCTGTTTTTCCCCGAGATCTCCCAGAAGCCTCCTGGATTGTTTGTGTCATGCTGTGTTGCCCTTCCAGTAGATGTCATGGAGGTTAAAGTGTCCCACAATAACCAGTCTCTCTGATTTTAGAGACTTTCTGGAATTGCTGAAATAGACATCATCTGCTTTCTTACTCTAATCAGGTGATTTGTAACAAACTTTGACTGTGGTGTTGCCCACACGGATCTCTCCTTTAAACCTGACCTACAAGCTCTTAAACCAGCCTGTTGTCCAGTTGTAGAACAGCTTTTTGTGTTCCAGCTGCTGCTTCAGGTAGACGGCAATTCACCGGCTGTTCTTTCCTTCCTGGCTTTCCTAGAAAGCTTGTGTGCTTTCCATAGCATCCAGGACAAAGCTCCAGTCCTGAGAACTATCCCATGTGTCTCAGTTGCTCCGGTGTCATAGTTCTGTGTACAGGTACTTGAGGTCATTCCCCTTTCAACATGTTTTATCCTTGCCAAGGTCTCTCTTCCTCCCATGAGCCTGACCCATGTACTTAATATTTCTGAATCTCTGTTTTCCTCCCTTAGCTGCAAAATTCTATCACCATTCCCTGATAGACATCTCGTTTAAAGTGCTTGTCACCAGATTTGATGAGGATGTTCCTAATGCACTTTGTCAAGTGGATTCCATCTCTAATTTGGCAGCCCTCATTTCTCAGGAGTACTTGTGGCCATAAAAATTGAAACACTGTCTGCAGCACCAGTCCTGCAGCGGGTTGCTAACTTGCAGGATGTGTTGGAGGACCCTCAGCAATTTCTTGAACATGCTGAATCTGGCCAACCTAGCATATCTGGCAGCAGATGTGTGTGTTTCCTTTTCAGAAGGGAATCTCCAACTAGTATTACCTGCCACTCCCTCATTGCTAATGCTCAGTTCAAACCCAGCTAGCTCTGACAGCTACTTTGAGATGCTTGCTGCTTCTGCCTGTCATTCTAATGTTGACCAAAAAAAAAAAAAAAAAGAGAAAGAGGAAGATAGATTCATATGTTTGTGTTCTTAGTGTACGAAAGAGACTGTGGAGCACTAGTATAATAAAAATGTAAGGTTGGGGGACATGCAGTAAGAAAGGAATTGAGATTTATGAAAAATCGATGAGACTTAGAAAGCTCAGACCAATGTTTGGGTACTGCTTATATCAGCTAATGTGTGCTGCAAGCTTCACATTCAGGAATGATTGAGAGCTATCCTGAGGTTCACGTGCTTCATCTTCCATTGACATGTTTGTGCAGTCCATGTACATGAACATACTATTCACTTCAAAAGCTTCAATTTTTGTAACAGTCTTCTATATGGGATAAATTCACTTTAGCCTCTTGGGTTCTGCTTTTATTTGGTTTATGGCTGATATGTTGTTTCATATGTTTTTAGATTAGAGAAATGAGTGCTGTAGTAGAAGCTGAGACAGAACTGCTATTTGTGGCTTTTAAAGCACTTTAAGCAAGCTGCCAGGTGATAGGCAGGACTGTTGGAGCCTAGTTTCGTAGGAATATGTCTCTGAAATGTGTTACTCCCAGCTTTAACATAATTTTTCTTCCTTATTCCCAGTGTCTCTCAGTGTTCTGCTGTCTGAATGAAAAACAATTTGTGTAATATCCACTTTGAAATTATACTTGCATGGAGTTGCCAGGCAATGGAGAGGCAAGAGCTAGTTGAAGAATCTAATGCTTCTTAGCTATGTCAGAACAAACTAATAACTTCAGGGACTTCTGGTTGCACCGGACTGTTATTTCTGCTTTTGTATTTGTTTGAAACTACCAGAGAGATGAACAAGTAATGGCCCAAGAGGGAAAGAAATAAAACACTGATTGTACAAGTCCTATTTGTTTAGAAAATTAGTAAAAAAAATATCAATCACCATATGAATACTCATATGTCCAGTTTGTTTTGGCCATATTGTGTGTTTCAGCAGATGTCAACTAAAAATTAGAGGCTTCATACTTTTCAGAAGTACAGGTGTGTCATAGCATCTCCAAAGTATGAATTCTGTTACCCCTTACCCAGTGTGAAGAGGCAGATGACATTATGCTCCTTTTACCTGAATTCCCAAGAACCTTGTGAAATTCTCAGCAGGTCCCCTCACAGGGAGGGGAAAGCAAATGCATGTTCTGTGGTCATCTGTTGTGGAACTTTGAATGTCAAAGTCACTGTTACTGGGGATGCTGTCACAGAGCAGAAGTACTGCTTCAGTGATTAACTCTTACTTCAGAATGAAAGCTTTTAATTTCCCTAGTTACAAATTTGAGACTTTAAAGGAAGTAATGTATTTCATCATCAGTCACTAAGCTGTATTTGCCATCCCATCTCAATCCTTTAATACAGTAAAATGAAAATGCACAGATGCAATTTGAAGATGAACTTGAGAATATTGTATTACGATTTCCTAATGAGGCAGCGGGGGAGGGGGGAACAGAAGAATGTGGAAGTCACTGGAAAACTGATAAGGAATTTGTGTTCTTTGCTACTGTGCTTTATGGAAACATGAATGTGCTCTGAATCTACCCATTTCTAGAGGCGATGGCTAGTAGTAATACTGTCTTCGTTTATGCAAAGCTGACCAGATTTAAGGGTTGCACTAATATATTTCACTAGAAAAATGACTTTTTTTAAGAGGTTTAGGATGACTAGATTTTCTCTTGGAAATCTGAAAAGATCCTTTAGAAGGGGATAGCATCTGTGGCAGGTCAACCAGTATTCACGGAGATCAATATAATTTAGGAAATAGTATTAGTACAGCCTAGTAGCAGAGAATTAGTGGCTCAGATATGTTTACTGTGCTCATAAGAGGTGATACAAACCTGTTAGAATTATCTTTGAAAAGATGTGCATGGGTTGATGAGAAACACTGCACCTAAATCTCTTTCATACCTCAAAATGATGTTTCTTAGGGTTTGGGGTTTTTTTGCTTTGTTTTATCTTTCTGGAATGAAGGTAATGTCCTGCAAAGTAATACCATGAATGGTAGGAAGCTAAATAATCCAACCTAATTTGTGTGTTTGTAATTGACAGTTGTGAAGGTCTTTTCTTGCATGCTTTTGTCTGGAATTTAGTATGTCAGGTGCTTTATTTTTATTTTTTTTTTTTTAAATGGCTGTTAAAGATCCCTGTGTTTTGACATCAGGAAGAGGATCCAAAGATTTGATGCAGAACAAAATTTCAGTAAGGTAGAATTGCACACAGGTTCTCTACTGTGTGGAGAAGTATAAGTTAGGTAATAATTTGAGCTAGTGCAGAAGTGCAAGCTAGAGCATAAATGCAATGCTTATAATAATTTTAAATTTAATTTCATCTGAGGGTATGATTCTGCAGATGCATGAGAACATTCTATCTTCACACTGGCCACTCTCGCGGCCTTGCATCTGTCATGGCTGTGGTGATACCTGAGTGACTGTCTAGCTATGATGGATAGCAATCAACACACATAAAATGACTGTGAAAATCTGAGCTTGGTGCCCAGCAAGGTGGGAAAAACCGTGGATGTACCAAATACCGAACCTGTTTCCATAATGAATAAAGGGAGCTTTACACTTCCTGACTGTGATGTATGGGTCTGTATGCTTGATCAGGGAAGCCTATGTTTGTCGTAAAATAGGAGGAATCTTGCTGCAGGCCTTTTAAGTGAGTCTGTGTCACTATATGGATTCCTTATCAGGGCTGAATTGAGAAACACTTGTTTGAAAACATGTTTTGCTTAGAGGCATGCAGTTAAGGATTACACAGACTTTTTTTGAGGAGTAAGACAAGCAGAAAGGGCGAACAAATCTAAAAAATTGAGATTTTTGGAAAGGATTCATTTGACCACTCCCTGTAGATAGAAGAGGCCTTATACGTCAGGGCAGCATAACTTAACTTCATCTAACCCAGGACTTCGCAACAATTCTGTCCATCCTGGCAGACTTCATCACTGTTCCATGCTTTCATTTTATAGTGAGACAGTAGTGGTAAAGTTATTACCTAATAACTTGAACCTGCTGCTGAAAATTTTTGGTTTAACTTTGTATGGGACTTGAATTGTACAAAAATATTGTACGGTTTGAAAGATGTAACTTTTTGAAAGGTGCCTGTTGGATATGATTCCAAATGAATAGTACATGACTTTGTATTGTGTTCAGTGATATACTGCATAGGATCTCTTAAGGGGTTACAACTCTGTCTAATGGCATGATTTCTAGACAAGAAAAATATATGATGGATTTTTAAATATACTAGTATATAATAGAACACTTATGGTGAAAATTGCATGTGAAGTGTTTTTAAAACATAAAAATATATTTTTATAGGTCTAACAAGAAGCCTAAGTATAACTTCAGCTGAAAAATCATTTGAAACAGCACAAGGAGAGAAAGTTACATTGCCATGTACTTTTGTACTCTCAGAAGAAGATGAAGGTCCACTAGATATTGAGTGGGTATTGATACCAGCAGATAATCAGAAGAAGGAACAAATAGTAAGTAGAGACTTTTTTGGACAGTGTTAATTCAGTTGTTTGAGTAGGTCAACAGATGAACTTTGTTACTGACATTTTGAAGTTCCACCTTTTCAGGTTGGGATGCTTGTGATCTTAAATTACTTTGAAGCACCAGTCATATCAAATAATCTGTTATTCCAAAACTTCCACTGTAAATATGAAGTATCAAGAAATTTCTCACTATCAATTTGTCTTCTAAAGAAGAACTCTCAAATTAAATACTCTTCAGTTCCAGCAAACAAATTATGCCTTTCTACCTGGCATTATTTTCCTGATTGAAAACTGATTTATGAGGATTTAATTTTAAATACATTAGTTCTTTTAGTTATTAACTCTTCCCTTTTTTTGGAAGGCTTATCAATAAGATGATTCCTTTTAATAGATGAGGTTTACATAATGAAATTAGAACAGTTTTTCAGTTAGAAGTCAATGGTGGCACATTGCTCCTTGGGCAGGTGTTTAGTTGGATTATCCTCTAGAGTGTGAATTCATTAAAGTATTCATTAGAGGGTAATATTTTGAAGATTGAGGTATTTGGCTATGTCATACTTCTGGGACTATTTAAAACAGTAGAAAGAAACTGTCAAGAATATGGACACACTAAATTATTTTGAATGTTTACACATCAAGTGGATTTCTGAATCATATTTCTTTTTTGTTATAGATAATTATGTATGCTGTAGACAGGATTTATAATCATTATTATGCTGCTATGACTGGGAGGATGCAGTTTACTAATCCTGATCCCAGATCTGGTGATGGTTCATTGGATATCCTGAATTTAAAGTCAGCAGACACTGGCACATACCAGTGCAAAGTGAAGAAGGCTCCCGGAGTTCAAAGCCAAAAAATACAGTTGACTGTACATGGTAAGAATGCTTTTCTTGAGTTTTCAGTGGCATTTTTGTGTTTATTCCATCCTATCTTTGATGTCTAAAATCATGACTTCTGTTGGGCAAAGTCATACTGAATCTATGATGATGCATCCATTATTGAGGCTTTGGGAGGGATGGACATCATTTTGTTCATCATGAAGGGAATAATGTTCAGAATAATGAGCATTTTAAAAAATTCTACGCCTGGTTTGCATTTCATAGAAAATCTTTCCAGGCATAGAAATGGTTTGTTTCACAAGCTTTGTCTTTAGCAAAATGGACTGACAAACTAGAACACAAGCAGTAAGCATTTTGATTGTGACTGTTATTAATTCAATGATACTTTGTTTATTAGTAAAGCCAGCAAGAACTAAATGTTCCATTGAAGGATCACAGGAGATTGGAAAAGATGTCATCTTGAAATGTGCATCACAAGAAGGATCCCCACTTTTGTCTTATGACTGGAGGAGAGTATCTGGCACACGGGAACTTCCTGCCACTTCTGTGCTGAGTACTGTCAAAGTTCATTTATTACTCTGAAATACCTAAGAAAGATTGCATTTGTATTTTTGGCTTATCTTGACTAGTGAGCATCTCATGTTTAATATTAGTATAGAGTAGCCAAGGTAAGTGTCACTTCTGCCCTATCACTGGGTACTAAAACTGACTTTGAAACAAGTTGATTATCTTTTTTTTTTTTTTTTTAATTCATCCTGGGAAATGTTTCAAGCTTTAGGATGAGATTCTTACCATTAGTCTACAGAATCATGCTTACCTATGTCTGAGTGTTGTGAGTTCTCTTGCTTGCTGGTTTTGGCCGCTTTTGTGCTCAAGTGGGCAGTAGAGAAGAGTCAGACCAGAGTCTAGACGAGTGGTTAGAGCTGCCTTCAGGGAAGTGGAGATAAAAGCTTGGATTTTATTAGAGGTTGAACTGAGGCCTTTACTTGATGAAATGACAGAACTTCTTAAAAAGGGATACATATCTTCAGAAGAAAAGTTGTCAAGAGTAATGGAGAAGGCTTACCTTCTTCATACAAGAGCTAACATACAGAAAAGAGTTATATATTCTTAATTTTGATTGATGGATTCCAATTCATTGTAGTGGTCATATTGGATTTTTATTGCAATAACTTCATTGTGGAAGGTTAATTTTGTGAATTTTGGCTTTGTGAAAGTTATTCTAGAATACTTTCTGGAAGAGTTTTGCTCCAGTACTGGTTCTTTTTGATCTTCTTTGTGGTTATGGAAACCTTAAATCTTGAGATGGTAGGGTTTCCTTGGAGATGAAGCAGTTTAAGAATCTGCTTACAAATTAGACATTTTAACTCAGGTTGTGTAGGACATACAGGACAAAGTTGTATCATGTGTCTAAGAGTAGCCAAATTAGATGTCTAGGTGAGAGAACATAAGTTGTGTGGCTCTTCCTCATAGGAGTCTCCTGTCCTCCCATAATTTATGCCTCAGGAAACTCAGTTGTGGCTTCAGTTTAATTGTTTTAAAACAAAACTGACTTCTGTGAACTTCTCCATTTTCCTTTAAATGTTTGTAGTCTATTAGAATCTGTAATATCTTAGAACACAGATCTCTAAACATCAGCTACATACGAAGACCCTCATACTGTTCATAATTTTGAGCTTGCCTCCTGGTAGTGCTGTTTGATGTATCTTATTTCTTGCTTTGACAGTGAACAGTTGATCACTTAATGTCCTTCTCTGTACCACTCAAGACGTTAAGCTTCGGTTACGCTCCTTTTTTCACATCCCAAATTTGTCTTATGGTGACAAAAAATTCAATTGACAATATCAGTTCTGGGCAAGAATGAATGAGGAATTATGCAAAAGTGGCACGTAGCTGGATAAAGCAAGGTTTGTTTGGGGTTTGTGAATGCAGGTTTAGGAGCACTGCACATGTTCTCCAGAATCTACACTCTACCTAACTTGTTCAGCAGGAGGAGCTATGATTTGTGTGGTGCTTTGTTCCTGTGATGTAGTCTCTTGCAGTGCTGATGGCAAATCTATTGGCAATTACAGCACGCAAGCCAATTGAAGTTCATATAGTAAAATCTCATAAATGTAGCTGTCCATGGCTTTGAAGGCCTTGGGGAAATACTTTGTTTTCACTGATTAGCTATGCTGACAGCCTAGGAGACAGACTTAAGTGGTCACCCACTGGAACGCAGTGTTCAGGTTAGATCCACCTCGTGTTGAACATGGGTTCGGCAAGCATCTCAACTGATCGAGTAGAATCAGTTTAGACAGAAAAATGAGAAGGAAGTACTTCTGGGATGCAGTTAATCTTTTGTATCTTAGAATTCTATGTTAGGATAAGAGAATTGGCCATTTTAAGAATCTGTTCTTATACATTGACAGAGCGTTTAGTCTGACTTTAATATTAAAGTCAAAATCTGTGGAATCAATTTCTAACAAGGTAAAGACTTTTAGAAGTAATAGTATTTTGCAGCACTATAGAATTTTGTCTTTATTTGGATATTTTAATGTGGCATTTTTTAGTTAAGATATCACTTATGTGCTGGATTAGTAATTCTAGAGTATTGATTTGGAATTAAACTTTGGAAAATAGTAAACCTCTACCTTTTGTTGTTTGTAGATAAAAATACAGGCGAACTTCTGTTGAAAAATGCCTCTCAAGACTATTCTGGTACATACAGTTGCGTTGCCTCAAACAGAGTTGGCACAGATGAATGTTCTGTTGAGCTGAATGTCACCCCTCGTAAGTGTTTGCTGTGTAACGGTCACATAGTGTTTTGTGTATTAAAAATGAATAATCTTGTTTTTCTAAACTCTTAAAAGGTTAAAAAAACCAACCCTGTTGTGTCACTGATGGTTGCTGCTTCAAGTCTTTAATTCCCAAAATGCTGCTTTTTACGCAGAAAGCTGTAACTCTTATTATTGTTTAAAATGCATGTGATTGAAGCATACTCTGTGATTCAGTGATACACTGTTAACATGGATCACGTGGAAACATACTGTTTTTAACGTTAAGAGAATAGTAGTTGGTTATATAAATTTGACGCTTAACAAGCAGTATTGTTATTTATGTATTCTAGCTATAAATACAGCTGGTATAATTGCTGGAGCTATTATAGGAACTCTGCTGGGTCTTTCTGTACTGGCTTTTCTTGTCTTCTGTTGCTGTAAGAAGCATAGAGAGAAGAAATATGAGAAAGAAGTACATCATGATATCAGGTAATGACATCGCTAGTTTCTGAGCAGTATTATTTGAAGATTAATTTTCTGCAAGATCTGTAGCAGTTGAGATTTCTGTCTTAATCTGGAAAGTTTATTAACATACTATCAGCTTGTCAGAGAACTTTTTGGTTTGAATGTGGTGTGGGTAGTCATATCTAATTTCAGTAAAGATTTTAAAGGCACTGAACACTTTATTTTTGTTTTTTTAAATTAGAAGTAATATGTGCACCTTGTTTGGTTACTGTGTCAGAATAGAAAGAAACAAACTGAAAATTTGTTTTGTAAGCACCAGTATAGTAATAGTGATTGACCTCTTGTTCTGTATCTGTTTGGTTTTGTTTATTTCAGAGAAGATGTTCCACCTCCAAAAAGTCGCAGTTCAACAGCCCGCAGCTACATAGGCAGCAATCGTTCTTCTCTGGGTTCAATGTCTCCCTCAAATATGGAAGGATATACCAAGACTCCATATAGCCAAGTCCCAAGTGAAGACTTTGAACGTACTCCTGCTCAAAACCCAACCTTTGCACCTTCAAAGGTAGCTGCACCTAATTTAAGTAGAATGGGAGCTGTTCCTGTGATGATTCCAGCACAAAGCAAAGATGGCTCCATAGTATAAAATATTATTAATTTAAATGCTGTTTTTTAAGTGTTCATTGTAAGTATTAGAAAAAAATACTGTGTTCCATCCCTCATTTAAGCAATGGCATGCAATTTTCCTTGAAGAAAATGAACAAGTTAGTTTGAAAAGCCACCAGTTCTCAATTTTAACTTTAAACTTATTAGTATATGACAGTTGAACTATTTGCTGAAAGCATTGAAGTTCCTAAATAAATATCGGGCACTGAAGGTATTGGGACCTCTGGTAGTTTGCTGAAGAGACACTGGCAGCTGATGTGCAGTTCTGAGTAGGTAACAGCGAGACACAAGTGAGAAGTAACAAAAGCATTTTATATGTAGACCGTGAAGTTTCTCAGAGTTCCTGAAACTTTATCCTCACTTTTGGAATAACAGAAATATTTGAACTTGTCCGCTATCTGATGTAGTTGCAGGGGGGCTGAAATACTGAGGATGACTTTGAGTTCTTTACAAACTGAGCAAGCAGTTCTTTAACCTGTTAGTGTTTGGAGCACTCTTGAACTCTTATTTCAGGGGCTACCAGTTATTTGACTGGTTCAATTGATTTAATGAATCTATTCTGAATTTAAAATTTCAGTGAGTGGAAACATGACAGGAGACCTTGCAAACTATTTGAAACGTTAAATTTTTCTGTAATAACAAGTTCTAGTCATGTCATACAGTTTAATACTTACGCTATCTAATTCAAGAGGTCCTATCAGGTGGTTGGTAGTGGTATCTATGCTTTAAAAATCTATAGATCAACTGTTACTGTCACAGTAAGAATGAACATGTATCTTTTATACAGGTTTTAAGTTAATTGTACCTTACATTTTCTGAAGCCTGTTTAGATTTTAAGGCAGTGCTCTTACTTTTTTCCAGACTGATTGCCTAGAAGCTCCATGGGGGTTTTAATGAAAGCTGCTAAGTTACTGGTATTTGATATCTGTCCTCTTGCTCTAACATTGCTGTGGAAACCTCTTTTCCCGTATACATGTAAGCAGTAGTTGGCCTTTCCTTAAGATGATAGTATCTTCCTGTATGAATTTGCAAGGTGTTTAAAGCTCACTTCTTGCCTCTTCAACAGCCCTGAATATTATAAACAGACATTTAGGCTTTTAAGAGCGAGAGTTTCATGCAGCCAGAATCTGAGAGAAAATAGTTATCCAGAATTGTTGATACAAATCTTGTTTCAATATTAAAACACCTTCTTCTTAGTGAGCTTAAAGCATTACAGGAGGGACAGAACAGTTCCTTATCTTACTTTCACACATACTTAAGGACTTTTGATACCTTCTGATAACTGAGATTATATACCTGTGGAAGCTGGATTTAAAGCTTAGTGCAGCTTGAATCTTTGTGGATTTTTTTTTTCTCTTCCTTCCTATTTTCTACTGTCTTCTTCATCCTTTTCTGGGAAGGAGGGGAGTCCCTTCAGCTTATTCTAGCTACAGATGTTAAACTGCAAGGTATTTTGGAAAACTCTAAAGGCATATAGTATGTGGCACTGATGTTGATGAAGGAAATATCTGAATAGCCTGTTGAAAGATGTTAGGATTATTTGTATGTAGGAACAGTGCGAGAGAGAACATTTCCCCAAACTTCTAGGTTTAGTGTCTGCTTTTTTGTAGTTGCTTATAGTTCTGTGATAAATTCTTTGGCTTACTACTAAATGCTTGTCCTACCTGTAGTTAGGTGCACAATTTTGGGCTGGCACTATTAATGTAAAGAACATACCCTTCATACTGAATTTAAAAACTTGAATAGTTATTAGGTGTTCTAGACTTACACTTTTACACATTTGGGACTTTTTTAGATTGTAAATTGATACTGTTAGAGATCAGATTTTTTTATCTTTCATGTGTGCCTTGTCAATAAACTTTGACTGATTGTAACTTCAGTTTTTATGAAATTTCTGGTGCCTAAACTTACTGTTTGAACAGGTGCTTAGATGATGGTACAGTTCTTAAAACACTGACACTGTGATCTGATTTCTTGATTCTTCTGTACTATTTATACCTCTTCATGCCTATTTTTGGATGTGACTTCAGTGTCTCTCTCTGTATTGTTCTGTATTTCAAAATGCTGGTTACTCCCTCAATTGCTAATTATGATCTAAGTGTTTCTATTCCTGAACACTGTTCAGTTGTACCAATGAGGTGGATGATTGCCTTTTACTTGTGTGGTAAATAGGTTTAGTAACTGTGCCAAACATATGCTTATGAAGAACAGTAGCTGAGGGGACATCTTGCATCCAATTATTGTGATAGAAGAGACTTCCTAGATTTTAATCATACACTAATTGTTTACCTTGAAACTAAGGCCTTCCTTAATTAAAAGGGTATAGTTATAAATACATGTTGAGTACAAAACTAAACTGAATCACAGAGTGAGAGATAGCTATAAACCTAAGCAACCAGGCAACAAACCTACTGAATTTGGTTCTTAGCCATCTGTGAACATAAGTGAGATTAGATGTGGGTTTTGTTTTTTGCTTGTTTGCTTTAGATTTTTTTTTTTTTCCCCTCCACCTGTCCCCCCCCGCCCCGGTTTGGCCTGAGACCCTGTACTTACAGTCAGGTAAGCCCTAGGACACTCAAGAACAGAAACCTGTCTCACCGAAGCCTACAGAGCAGAGTTTACACATGCTTAATGCTCTGTCAGCTTGTACAAAATAATAAATGGACAGAACAGAAGGACAGCATGATGTGCCCTCAGACCCTAGCTGTTAGGCTTAGCAGCCTTGACAGTGTCTGTCTATTTATGTAATTGCATGGAAAATAAAACAAATAGAATCTGACATAGTCCTTATCTGAAATAAAGAATCTCTGACTTGGGGTAAACTTTGCCTCAAGTTGCTATCATCATGCCTTTCTGTTATGATACAACATTACTATGAAAACATAATACGGCTATTATACGTTATTTCTTTTGTCAGTAGATTGTTCACTTACACTGGATTATGATTCTCAAAAGCAGCTACCGTAGTTTATCAATGATTTCTAGCTGTGTAGGAGAGGAACTGGTTAAACACGTGAGGTGTCTGATCTTACAGGTAACTCTGCTAACAGAACTGTCTTAGGAAGTAATGGCAGCTGATGTACCAGTTAGAAGGTGGCATTTTTAATGTCTCATTTTATTTAACAAAAAAAAAAAAAAAGGGATTGGGGGTGGGGGGCATGGTACCATTATGTAAATACTCTAAGTGAACTCAAGAAGCCTCTAGTTAATGTCCTGACTGTAAACTTGCCTGTTGAGGACTACTATATATATAGGAGAAACCCCTCAATTTTAGCATGGTGTGAATAAAGTGTTAGACTTGTAATACTGTAGAGGTTACGTAACACTTGTCCATACATTTACAAGCGTTTTCATAAACTTTCCAAAATGGATATTTAAAGATACTTGTGTGAAACTTCCTTACCTAAAAATGGATACTTCTTCCAAAGCTGTGTAGTGCACAGAACTGTCTTGTTGGAGGGGTAAAACATAACTTTTGAAAGAAATGTACAATGCATACATCTTCATCAACTCTGATAGTCACATTCATATTAGGTGTATGCTTCCTGCTTAATAGTACAAGTAAGACTTTTTAATTGCAAGTTTTTCTGTAATGCTGAATACTGTATTATTACTGGTTTCCATTATAAGATTTTGGTTTTGTTCTTAACAGTGTATATTCTGGATCACTTGGATCTTTGTTCCAGTCTAAAGACATAATACTATTTGTGTCACTTAAACCTTCTTTTATACACTTGATAGGTGCTTTATGGGACAGTTTGGTTATTGGTCCTCTGGCATTGAGGTACAGCTCAGTTGAAATCAGAGCAATAATATTTCCTGGAATCCAAAATGTTACGATGTTACGTTATACTTCTCATGCACAAAGCATGGACTTGAATATTGATACAAATTTCAGTATGAGGTTTTCTATTCACACTTTTGGGGGAATGGTATTTTAAAATGCAATTATTGTGAGTGAATTTGTAAAAACAAAATCCAAAATTTTAAAATGCTGTAGTTCCATGACAGACTTGTGTACTTTTTTGAAATAAAACTGTTGCAGAAAACAGTAGTCTGTCTTTATTTTAAAGCAGCACTTGTGTATGGCTTCAGCTTTCTCTTTATGTAATTGGAAGTGAACTAATAAATATGGCTGTGTATACCACACTGGTATTAATAATTTTATTTCTTGCTTTTCCATCTCATCCCCTTCCCCCCCCCCCCCCCCCCCCCCCATTAATTTCTAAGGGAAGTAAAACTTTAGGTATTTTAAAACATGCATTTATTTGTGGTTTCTAATTGTAGATACACAGGTGTAGTGATCAATTTCAAAAACGTGCCAGAGTAATCTCAGCAGTTATTCTGAAACATAAGTCTGGAAAGGAACTTTAGTTTAAATTTCATCCCTCTGTTTTAGGCAGAACCGTAAATTCCTGAAGCTGATAAATTACTGTCTTTTGACATTCAAACAAGCAGGTTTACAGCACTCAGAGCATGTTGATAAAAAGCTTGGTTTTATATTGTCAGTTAACGTGTATCATCTTTGATTCAAATGATGTTGACTTGGGATACTCGCCACCCCTTAGCCTTGCAAACCAACTGAATACTGTCTTTGTAGTTTTACAGAAGATTAATGCAGTTTCTCCAGTGTTGTTTTGGGCACATATTTAGTTTTATGAAACAAAGTCTGGCATGGGTGCTGCATTAATGGCATGCATTATATTTATATAATTGGACGCCTAATTAGCTTACATTTGTTCATGTTGTATGCATGTATTTATATGTTATAATATATGCCTATCTTCATATGTTAATGTGTACCTGTGTCATGCTAGATGTTTCAGTCACCACTTTGTGGGTATGTATAAAAAAAACCTGTTTGATACATGCGTGCAGAGGCATATGAAGTTAAATGGAGTAGTGCTGGAAAAACCTTTAGGATTTTTTTTTCCTATTTCAAATTAAATACAAAAGGAAACCTAATAAAAATGAATGTTTGGGTTTGTCTCGATTTGTAGAGCTCTAAGAAACCTTTCTACACCCTTTTAATGTTAACGTCAAGACAAGTTCAAGACTTCTGTCCTTTCCTAAGGTGGCAGCTTTGTCACAGATGGCACTTGCATGCCTTGGCTGCCCCAGGTCTTTTATTTGGAGATGAGATGATTCTGAATCAGAGAAGCTGAGTACCTCCAGCTTGTCTGTGGAAATTCCAACAAAGCAGCTAGTGCTTTCCTGAGAGTGTCCTGAAGGAACAGAGGGCAATCATCATGCGGTAGTTCTATAAAACTTTTGCGGTCCTTATGTATGTGTCAGACAATGCCTTGGATAAAGTTTCTTAAAAGGTCTGTCTTCCTGATATTTTCCTCTGAACATCTTTGACTGTGTCCTTTGAGATTATTATTTCAAATTTACTTCTCCAATGGGAGAAGCTTGGGTTCTTTCAAACTCTGTGATAATGCTGATAGGCAATTAATTGCCAGGCTCTTTTAAAAACTAGTTAATGATAGTGACTCTAGCCTTGCTTTCTTGTGTATAAAAACCATAGAACAAAACCGAAAGAGCTTGTAAAGAAAGGGGCAAAAGCAAGAGTGTAGTGAGAGATGCTATGAATGTTGCCTGCTTTTCCAAGCCTCAGCTTACTCTACCTTTTACTTGTGGGATGACTGTAGATGATTGCTCACGTGAAGACTTGCATCTTAATGTAAAAATAATGTTACAATGATTCTGTTGATTTTTTTAACTTGCTTTAGGCTTTTTGCAGAACGGTACAGGCTCAGTTCTCAGGAGAAGAATATGAACCTTTTATTTTATAAAATAAACACTCTGGCAGAAAAAGGACCAAGAGGATTGTCCCTGCTTCTGACTTCCCTTCAAAGTCAAGTCTCTGGAATAGGGATCCTTGACGAATCCTTTGATTTTCACAAAGTTGTAAGTTAGTGTCAATTTTGCCCTCTGAGTTGGAATTTTGAAGAGTTCAGCTTTCAGCTGCTGAGTATTGACCAGGTCGCTTTGAATATGCAAAGTCAATAGCATTTAGTGGCAGCAGCTTGCTAGCTGGGTTGTCATTTTTAGTGGATTAACACAGTCACCTTTGGTCAATGCTATCCAAAAAAAAAAAAAAACCCCAAAACCCCAAAAACCCCAAAACAGATGAAGGACAGTTCTACTGTGTTATTCAGGAAACATTCAGAAAGTTGTGCAACTCATAAAGGAGCCTTGTATGGTGCCAGGATTGCTAGATGGCGGGAGGGGAGTAGCTTTATAAAGAAATTGAACATGTTGGTTACACAACTTGATTATGTAACAATTTTAAAACATGGCAATATTAGAAGAGACGTTAACATCTGAAAGCACATCATTTTGCCTTCAGTAATCTAATTTTTTCTTCAGGGAAAAAACCTCTGGGGGCTCTATGTCCGCTGGGAAGCGCAGAAAGCTATGTGATGCAATGACAGTTGTCCCACTTCTCCAGGCTGGATGCTGTGGTTTTGTGAGCTGCAGGCAGGCAGGATGAAAGTTGAGTGCTGCACGTGAAGGGCATTGGACTCTTCCTGGAGTATTTTTACTAATTGCAAATTGGGGAGAGGAAAGCAGCAAGTCTGATCAGTTTGTGTTGAGTTTTATAGGATGGATCTGAATTCTGGTAGCGCAAATGAACTGTCACACTTCTTGAAGCCTTTCCCTACTCTGCTTTCCAGCAGCATCTGATTTAGTGGTTTTCAGTCTGCAGAACCTTTTTGCATTTAGAGTTGCTTATATAGCCATTCTTCATTCTTATACAGCATATCTTTATTACTTAAATTGCAGTCTTGTACTCCTCCTACCATGCATAATTTCTACATGTGATGTTTTTGGTTATATTACTACAAACAATACTCTATAAAGAAACAGTCAGAAGCAACTGTATACTAGAGTCTCTTGCACACCCCAGACAGGGCAAATAGGTTCTTGGTGCTCTGGGCACAAGCATCTCCTGGGGTGCGGTGGTCACTCAGGTTAGGTAGCAACTCATTCAGAATGTGGTATCAAGAGTAGTAAATCAGATGGTAAAGAGCTATACAAGCAATTTAGTACCATTAGTATAATAGCTTCCAATTATGTCAATTTTGCAAATTACGTTCTGTATGAATAAAGGAGAAACTTGAGATCTTGCTTCTTGTGGCCAGTTACTGCTGTACAAGTGAAGTAACAACTTTCTGTAGCTTATGATTTGGCCTGCTCTGTGACTTGTAAGTGGAACTGTTATCCCATACAGGAATCTGATTCTCCCTATTTCATAGCGCTTGGTAGTATTTCACTTGTGAAACATCAGTCGGGATTAGTCAAATTTCACAGAAGTTAAAGTGTGCAGCAGAGCATCCATTCTTGGTGTTTAAGGTCTCTGATTGCAACCACCACCGGCATCAACTCACAGATGACTCGCTAGTCATCTGAAGGGATGGTGTTTCTAAGTAAATATTTGCTGAAGCCAAAATACTTGTGCTATGCCTTAACTGTAGGAGATCAAGATAAAATTATTACTTAGGATTTCCATTTACCAGTAGAATAGCTCAGGTGGGAGGAAAACATACCCTTAGAGCAGAAATAAAGGCAACCGGTGGTAATACATAAAACTACTGAATTGTTTGTGACTGTTGAAGATGGTGCCAACTCTGGGGCACAGCTGGTGGTTTGTGGAACATGTCAAAAAGCTTATGTTGTGGCTGCTAGCACTGAACTACTTATCTGGATAAATAAAACGCCCTTCCATGTCACTTCAAATCCTGTAACTGTCAAGACCAGGAACAGTTCATCTCAGCTGTAAGAGCTATAAGAAACAAAATAAAGCTTGAAATTATTTTAATATATTCCCTGTTTCTTCTTGGTACACAAGAAAAATTACAACCTACTAAAAGGACACAACTTCAACTGAACTGTTTGGTCTTGACCTGGTTTTGTCCTTGTATTCTCTAATTCAATATGAAGTTGCTTAGGAATTGCAGTATTTTCTTTTGCTTCAGACTTCGGTTGTGGCTTAGGTGACCTCTTTATGTAACCTATTTAATTTAATTACCTTCTATCCCTGTTTAAGATGAGAAAACTCAATGTGTTTAAAACATGGAACTTAAAAAAAAAAAATTGTCCCATACTGTCTTCAGCCCACTCAGAAAAAATGACTTCATGGCCAAATAGGAGTGCTTTGTATTGAAACAAAGGAGTAAATTTTGTGTTCGGGAATACTGAATGCGCTCTTGTAGCTGATGCTCAGGCACTCTCCATCCCTTCCTCTCTGTGGCCAAGCGTGACCCTCCAGCTCTGCGAAAATTGCAGTGACTTACTAGGAAATATTGTGTTTTCCAACAGAAAACAAAATAACCCTCATAGGTGCCACAAAGTTATTTTCTTATTCTTTACTTGGGAAAATAATTTAGGTAAGAAAAGAGTTATTGTAATCTGCATCAACAAAGATGTTTTTCCTGTATAAACTTTGACAAAAAGTTGTAAATTGTTGAGAGGTCATTAAAGGAAATGTGCAGCTGAGACATGACTAATTTTTGATAGGTTTTAACAGTTGTTGTGAGAAATGCTATATTTATATTACCTTTGCACATGCTATTGGTATGCTAGTACATACTTTTAAATCCCTTTAATTTACAAAAAAAAAAAAAAAGGTGTAACTGAAGCCTGATTGATTAGTATGGACCAGAGCTTAGAGTTAGTCATTAAAATGTCTGTTTTCCTCAGGCTGACGTGAAGGTCGCCAACAAGTTTTCTTCATTTGCAGCTCAAGAAAAAAAAATTCCTCAGACACATCATTATTGTATCTGTTGGTTTTCTTTTAGGAGCAAGACAATGAAAATTGTGATTCTTGTACAGATAACATACAGTTCTGATCACACTAGTCTTGCATACTTGAAAGGCATCAACATTCTAAACTTCAATTACATGCTTTTAAAATCAAGGTTATGTTACTACTTGAAGTATTTTAGGTGTGTTATTTAAATATGATATATGTATATCAGTGTGATTTTTTTTTTTTTTTTTTTTTTAATAGTGCATATACTGGGTAAAGCAGGCAGGAATCTCAGACAACCCGCTAAAATCCTTTATTCCTAGATGAAAGAGCTGGAAGGAGTGTTAGAGTGTTTATGCTCAATAGTCCTTTTTGTTGCCTGAATTAGCATATT